TATGAGTCCTCAGCAAAGCTGCACACAAATACAGTCAGGGCAGTTTTTGTAAAGAACAGCCTTAATTCCCAAACACCATGTGCTCATGTGCTGTAAAGCCAGTAATATTTATTCATTTGGTGGCTTTTCAAAGCATGTCTTCTGAGGAGTGGTTTTGTTATGAGAGACGTCTTTACACCTTGCATTCATACAAAGGGAATCAGCGGCGGCACAGCCCTGACCGAGCTGCTGCTCTGAAAAGCTTCTGGCGCAGCCCGCGCGGAGAGAGACTGTGAACTTGGGATGTTTGCAAAGTGAAGTTCACTCAAATTAATCATTCTGTCCGACAATGAGAGCAGAGCACCCCAGGGCTAAAAGGGAGACAAGGCCTTTCAGCGAGAAGAAGAATACGCTGCACTACTATATATGTTTTTGAGCTTGTTATTCATTTTCACCATGAGAGACGGGGGTGGCTGGGGATGGGGGTGGTTATGTAGTGGTGTGCTCTCGCTCTCTCTTGGTGCCGGGGAATATATCTATCGTTCCGGGGAGCCATTTCCCATAAGAGGGGATAAATGGATGCAGCTGAAGGTGAGGACAATGCAGGAACATCACATTTAGTGGCTTATTCGTCAAGTTCATAGTGGGTGTCAGGCCGCTGCCAAATGTTGCATTTTTGCAGGAGGCTCGTAAAGGAAAAAGGCCTCGCACGCGTCTCAACACTCGTCATACTTCATATCTAATTTGTGTCTACATTTTAGTGCCTTGAATAGACGATGCAGGGCTGCGTTTTTTCCTTGGCTTTAATAATGTTTTAAAATAATTTTTCAACGCTGCGTTTATTTGGATCAGGCCCAACTCTATCCAAACCTCATCTTAGTTAAAACTAAATGGTAAACATGGCTTTTGCAGACTGTAACAGCCTGTCTGTACCTGAAGCTTCATGTTTGTTTTTGTTTTGATGTTGTGTGCCTTGTCTGAAGCAGCTTTCAGACATGCACCTTGGTACATAAATGATATCCGGATTTAACACGTCTGTTTCATGTCTAAATGAGCTTCTAAATGAGTCACTTTTAGAAGTCACAGCAGCAGTGTCACTGGGTACAACCAATTTCCATAACTCTATCAACAAAGCACGAGTCTGGATTAGTCATCTTCAGAAAAGAGTCTTGTTAGATTTCCAACTTTTATTCAAATCAGCTTCCTAAAGTGTGAATGTCTGACAACACACTTGAGCAATTCAGACTGAACTCTGATTGCACTGTAAGCTGAAAAATGAAGTATTTTCTTTAATTCCTTTGAATAAATTATGAGATGAATGTGGGAATGTATGAAGTTATCTGAGTTGGTCGGACAAGAGAGGGATGGCTTTTTGTTATTGAGTAAGAGATGTAAAAGTCCAAAAACAATTCAGTAATTCTCATTGTTCTCTAACTCACAGCTGTGTCACAGCATTGTGCTGCTGCAGTGAGAAGGACAGGGGCCCTCTCTGGTCGTGTGTGCCAGGTCCCAAATAATGCACTTTAGTGTTGAGGCCCCACATCACATGTGAGGAAGAATATATATTTATTAACTATAGTCTACAATCCATATTTAAGGGGCCTATACAGCATTTTGAGACAAAGTAACCATAGG